AAAGACGAAATCTTCAGTGCGCTCAAGACGGCAGGCAGCTGCATAAGCATGGGTCATGTTACGTCTGCGAAAAGTTCCAATTGATTATTGATTTAGATAACCATGGTTGGAGTAGATAAATTGTAAATGAATATTAAAATATTATCTTAATTATCAAATGAGTATTTGATAATCCAATTTTGATGTTTAGCATTGGAGTTGCTCTAAATAATCAGGTTAGCAACAATAACACTTGTATAATTTGTTATCCAAACATGTTTCTAACTGTTTAAAAATTAAAAAATAGCCCGTAATGTGTCCGAAAGATATTCTCGAATGTCGGAAACAAAATGTGTATGAAAAATGAAAACATTAAAAAGTTGAAGTTTTCGTGTTACGTAACTTCTAATTGAAATTAACAAATAGTCAAATGCTATTTGGAGAAAGTCATCTTTGAACTCGGCTTGAAGATTGGGTCTAAGCCCATTTATTCGTCCAAATTAATATACACGAAGAGGCCAGCAGCCCAACCAGAAGTTCCTTTTTGCGTTTAGGTAACAATCCTGTGCTTCTCGCATCACATCGAAAGATATGCATTCATGACGTGGCAAAATCTGATTTGCTAACTGACAAACTTTCCTTCTCTCTTTAATGTTGCCTCTCTCTCACACACACGCACAAAAAACCTCGTCCATGCTGAACTCGAGAGGGCTGCGATCCATCGTCGTGGACTCGTAACTGGAAATATCGACACCGGAGGTAATCGATCTTCATTTTCAACTGATTTATTTTCATTAATCTTCATGATTCGATTTCAGAAACCTGCTTACATTTTATTTTTTATCAGTATTAGATTTAAATTTTTCTTATTCTTATGGTTTCATATCGCATTTTTGAGATAATTATTGTTTTGTTTGGGCTTATGATGTACGAAGAATTTAATTAATTTAGTTTTGAATTTCGTTATAAATTTGCTATTTGAAGGTTCCTTCAATTGATATCACTGCCAATTTGGATGCAGAATTCCAGTGTGTGAATAACAATCAAGAAAAAACTGTTTTGTTTTTTTAAGAAAATCTGGAATAAATAAAATGGTTGCATGAGCATAATTAAGTTATACATCTGGTTACTTTAGCATAGAGTATCAATTTTTGATTCTGAAATTGATACTTATTATGAGCAGCTATAGTGCTTTAGCATAGAGATCCAACTTCTTTTATTTATTTATGTGAATGAGTTAACGAGAGTGTCGTATGCTTTTGTAGGCACGTACTGGGAGGCGGTTAAATAACAGAACGAGGATAATTTAAACATGGTAAGATGATTTAACTTATTTATTATTTTTTCCTTGAGCTGCATAAGGGTAGTAGGCACTGATATTATTCCGAATGGTTTTCAGTCCGCACTCTTCAATTTCCATTCATTCTTGACAGTGGTGTTGTTGGGCATCTGTGCCTGCACGTACGTGAAGATACATTTTCCAGCACTTCTCGAACAAAGAACTGGGTAAGTGCTTTTTGTAAGATATATTGGTAATTCTCGAATTCAAAGGTTTGTTGATCACTCGATTGTAGGATGAGGTGTTGACCAGTGAATATGATTGTCTTCTCTTATTTAGTTATTTAGATTCTTATAATGTCAATCTCATCAGAAAACGGTGAATTAGTTCTCGGTCTTGTAATATCCTAGGGCTATAGGATCGTTTATATCATTATTTAATAGAAAATTCCTTTAGAGGATTGGGGGAGCCAAGTGAATATATTTGGCTACGGCGTGATGTGCGAACAGAGATATTGCTGATCATACCACGTCACTTAACAATTTCCAATTGTTTTTCTACAATTTGCTACACCTATTGTTGGAAGGAGAATTTTAAATGAGATGTTTACACTTCCCTGTTCGATCAAATTGAAGTGAAGACAGCTTTCATCCACTGATTAATATAGCACCCTTTTTTTTCAAAATGCTGTCCTGTTTTTTTGAAGAATCAGTTTCCATCAGGCAAACTTGACTCACATCGGCACCATGTTTTTCTTACATAAGTAGTAGTATTGCCTCTTGTTCAACCTGTTCTTATGGTTCTCGAGAGCATGCTCTCTTATTCTTTAAGAGCTGATAATACATTAAATAATGTTCCAATTCAGCTGTTTTTCGAACTAGACTTTAATATTTTGTAGGATATTGGTTACTGTGGATATCACCTTCAAGGATACTCTCTTAAATAAAACTTTGGAAGGGGTTTAGTGGTTCTGATATCTAAATAAAGTTATGCCAAACAAATAGGCTGGTTTAGGTTCATCAACGTTTGCAGATAAGTGACTTGAATACATGGAAACTTGATTTGGTTATTTCTGTATACCTTCTTCCTTGGGCCCATGTATAAATATATATTTTTTTTTGTTATCAGTTGTGGTTGTAATTTTCTATACCTTCTACAGTTAAAATTCTGTAATTTTGATGTAGTCAAATGGTGATAGAGAAAATTGCCATTGTACTCTTTTAAATCTGCTCCCGTGTACTTGATATCTTATGTACAATATATGCATCTATAATATTTATTTTCGTCATTGTTTATGACTTTTTTATCAGTAAACCTGCTTTTAAAATTCTGATATGGTACTGTCATTGCAGGTTTCGAGGTGTTTTCTGGAAGGCTGCTAGAATAGGTAAAATCACTAAATTGCTTACATGTATGACGAGTTGCACGACTGGTTGTTCACAACATAATACATTTATTTATAGAAGCTCGCATGACCTTTGCAAATATATCCGCTCAAGTTTGTTAAGATAGAAACGAATCGTGTTCTGTAGACTTATAAGCTGGTTAATTGTTAGACCTTTCTTCATTACAGAAGCCTTCCTCTTCATTTTTTAAGAACCTGAGATCGCCTTGGGTTTGGATGCATGTTAAGCAATTTTCAGTGACGCAACATCTTTACCGGGATTTGATGTTTCTCAGCCTCTTAAATATATCTCTTTTTACGGGGGCATAATATGATAAATGTTCGAAGTGGCAAAACAATGAGGATTTTCTGATCCTTTGCTCAAAGTTTCTAATCCGCTGACTAAGATTTTCCAACTAGGTTTATTTTGCTATCTGCTATAAACAAACATTTAGTGATGCTTCATATTTTATATTTTCTTGTTTTCAAAATTTCTTGCAAACTTTCAAACTACGACCTAATGACAATGTTGAATGCACCCTGTAACAGGAGAGAGACTGAGTCCTTGGGTGGCTTTGGGGTGCTTCGCAATGGGCGTCTCAATAATCTTCTTCTGAATAGGAATATATATACGTGAGAACTGAGCTCCAACGACCATATTAGGTTTGTAATTCATGAACTCTTATCATGTAGTTGAAAGTTAAAGATTTATTTGAAAGTCACTCGTGCTACATTTGATGATGGCTTCTGTATACTTCTGATACGATTTCTTCACGATTCTTTTCTGTTTGATTCTTGTTTGGAGCTTTTTTGAATGCCTCTTGTAAACCTTAATTTTTCCAACAGTCAGATACTATTTTATTTTCTAAAAGTTCTCCAGTTGAATATACGAACCTAGGTCATGTGGGATTTGTTTTGGACGTAAAGAAAATTTATGGATTCCTGCTAGAAGAGAGTTTCCCTTTTACGACGAGAACGGTCATAAATATCATATACAACAAAAAAAAAAAAAAAAAAAAATTATCTGATAGGGAAGTGGTGTTTCTGGAATAAGTCTGGTGGAAAACACTCATTTACGAATAAATAAGTTATAGTTTTTGTTTCAACAAAGTCGTTTGCATGTTCTCTATTCTCACATTCAGACAAGAGGTTCATCATCTTATATAAAGCAGGGAGCTGTTTGAGTACAACAAAGATTCATCACTTAACTGAAATCAAGGCAGTAGAAACTTTGAAACTAACAGGCACACAATTAACGATAAAAACCGTAATCGTATGCTTGAACCTTCTGAAAACCAAGACCCTCTCCTCTCCCCATCGGACAACCGCAAGAATCACCTTCTTAATCGGCTTCTTTCCGTTTGTTCTCTTTGTGGTTTCAACAGGTACTCGAGTTATTTCTTCTTCGGCTTCAGATTCTGCTTCAGCTCCCCAGTGAAGTGGATAACTCCTCAAGAAAACTCTTCTTGTATTGTAATCTTCGTCGCGGAAACTTCTTGCTCGTATCCCATCTTCCTCCATGTTTTCGTTTTTACTCATTGTTGTTAAGAACTTCTTGTTTGAGTAAAGCTCTACTTATAATAATAATAATAGGTGTTTTGGTACTGTGGCAGTGTGTGAATATGTGTGCATGTGCTGTATTTCTTCTTGGGGTAGGGACTATTGACAAAGATCATATTCTGTTGAGATCCTATAATTGTATAAACTATTGTAGTTGTTGTCTCTTGTGTGCTGTCTTTTTTCTAGAGTTTACAGCAGAATTTATGAATACTTTTGCTCTTTGGCAGCGCATGACAGGCAAAAATACTGGAATTCTACGCTGCTGCATTTTCTAGGTATTGTATTTTTCTTTTTAATTTTTTTTTTTTAATTTTTTTTAATTTTTTTTCAGAGCCATGATTGAATGTTCTCCTTTATTTATTTATTTTTACAACATCATAGGATGTTATTTTGTTGTCTTCTTTTTGGATATTTTCATTGAGAAATTTAAATAAATAAATGGGAAAATTGCATGTCACCCCTTATAAATTTTTAATCCTTACTTTACCCCTCAAATTTTAAAAAAGGAATGTACCCCTTCAAAATGTTATACTTGTTGCACATTGTCCCGATAGCGAAATTCCAATGGATTCTTAATTGGAATTGAGTGTTTTTTTTTTTTTTTTTGCACGTTGCTCCTTTATAATGCTATTTTTGTTGCACATTTTCTCTTAAAAATACTATTTTTCTACACATTGCTTCTTTAAAATGTTATATTTGTTGCACAACACCCACCGAAAATTGGCTTTTGGGGCAAAAATGCAACTAAATCTATATTTCTAGGGGGAGTTATCTCCTTTCTGAATTTTTAAGGGGGAAAGTGCCAAAATGATGAAGTGCATTTTGTCCTAAATAAATAAATAAAGGCTGCAGCTATATGTAATACTCATTACACTTATGCAAGACCAAATTAAAGAAAGATTCCAAAAGATTCTATTTTATTAAGATGGAATGACAAGTATGCCCATAAATTAAATTGCCTTTTTTTTCTCATGTAAGACCAAATACAAATAATGAGAAAAAAACAAAAATCGACACCAAGGTGTCGAAAAGCTATGCTACAAATCGACACTTAAGCGTCGAATTTCATAGGTAAAAATCGACATTGACATGTCGAATTTATAGCACAAATTCAAATGTCGAATTTTATACCTCAAAATCGACATCTACATGTCGAATTTTATACCTCAAAATCGACATCTAAATGTCGATTTTTACCTGTAAAATTCGACCTGTACATGTCGAATTCGTTTGCGCTGGATTTTTTTTGGAAAATCAATATTCCAGCTAAAAACCCCATAAATGCATACATTCTTGGGTTCTTCCATCGTAGAATCTTCTATTGTGATGTCTTCTGACTCCATACTTGCCATTTTTGTAAGATTTGTTGAGTTTTGATGATTTTGAATTTCTAGGTTTTGTGGGTTAATGGAGGAGGAAGGAGAAAGGTCTTGTAGATTTTGAAAGATGGAGAAGATGAGAGTTGGTCTTGTGGTTTTGTGGTCTTGTGATAGAATTTTTTGTGTTTTTCAATTTTTGGTCTTACATATTTGGAATTTTTTATTTTTTTAATAAATAAGGGTATTATAGTATTTATACATTGAACATTTTAATTTGGTCTTGCACAAGTGGAACTAGTCTTGCATATAGCCGCAGCCATAAATAAATGGTGTTACATTAGGACACACTGTTTATATATATTTATTTATTTAGATATATATAATAAATGTAAAACAGTTTGCCATTGACGGCACTAATAACAATGTCACCATGTAAAGAAGGGGAAGGCACGTTGAAAACGACGCTGTTTTGCAAGTAATTATTTGGTTAATCACTTGAGATTAGAGGCAATTGGGCTTCATCATTGAATTGCTTTTATGTTGTTTGACTGTTGCAGAAGAATTACTGTTTTGTGCTTTATGAAAAGAGAATATATATTTTGTAAGCTTTTAGGTTAAATAGGTGTATGTATAGAGTTTTTTTTTTTTTTTTTTCTTTTTTTGTCCGCATGCGTCAAGAATTTTATTGCACGAAAAGCGTATGTTATTTGAATTTCATCCATGTTTAACTTAATTTATACCACTAAAATTCTATTTGATTCATCTTACACTCTATTATTAACCAAAAAAATACAAATGAGGGAAAATATATGTCAAATCATGCAAAGACCGAGACTTAGGTTTATTCGATGTCACACCGATGATTATTAACCTTTGATCTGTACATAATCATACAAACACACACACATGTGTGTATTTGTTTAGTGAGAAGTTATCTCATCACGGTGTATTTCATCGTATATATCATCTCAATAACCTCGAGACTTGTAGAAGTTACTTCCTAGTTTAACTAGCTAATTACTCTCGCGCCAAAATATTTGCCCATTTAGAAAAGAAAAAAAAAACAAATTAGTTGTCAAATTGAAATTACAATGATGCACTAATTGCACTTTTCTCAATTTTGTCAAATTTAGGGAGATTTTTAGTTAGATGTATCGGGTCGTAAAATAATTAGGTTTTCGTTACATTATTTAATTTTATTTTGACTAACTAATAGTATCTTAGTAACCAAACGAGACGTTAATTAGCATACTCCAAAGCCCATAAATAAGTTTAAGTGACTATTTTTCCACCCTTTAGTTTCCTGTATTGTGTAATTTTCCAAAGGAAGACCATTTCTCATGCAGCAAAAAGAGGCATGGAAAAAATTAATCAGTTAAAAATAAAATATTATAATAATAATAATAATAATAATAATAATAATAATAATAATAATAATAATAATTGTGCTCCTCAAATAATTAGCAAAGGAAGGAGTCAAGAAACATCACCCTATTTTCCCTCCATTTTAAACGGACTCCATAAAAAAAATTCAGCAGCATTAATAATCCTCCATTGCTTCAGAACAATGGGATATCCAATCACGTGTCGGTTCAACCATAGGATTAAAACAACAGCCCAGATAAATTAATCCTATTGTTGAGCTGACATCAATAAAATTAAAACAACACAACCTCATAAACTTTGATTTTTTTTTTGTGATTCTTTCAACTTATACTTGTATGATTTAATTTGGACAAGTGTTTTTCATAAAAAAAAACAAAGAAAAGAAAAAGAAGATGGCATCATTCACAGGAACATTGGACAAATGCAAAGCTTGCGACAAAACCGTTTATTTCGTCGATTTGTTGTCTGCTGATGGTTCCACTTTCCATAAATCATGCTTCAAATGTAGCCACTGCAAAGGAACCCTTGTGGTTAGGTTTTTTTCTTTTTTAATTTTAAATTTCTTGATTATATTGTTATTATTATTTTTTTTTTTTTAATTAATAGTAATTATTATTGTTGTTGTTGTTGTTTGTCTAACAGATGAGCAGCTACTCTTCCATGGATGGAGTTCTGTACTGCAAGCCGCATTTCGAACAACTTTTCAAAGAGTCGGGAAATTTTAGCAAGAATTTTCAAGCTTGTAAGACATCGAATTCCCCGACAAAAAATAAAAATATTACATTTCTAATTTTTTTTTTTTTTTTTACATATATTTTTCTCATCTTCCCACATTGGTTATTATTTTTCTTGATTCTGATGAAATTTCATGCAGCAAAGCAAGAGAGGGATCATAATAATAATCTGGTATGTGCCTTGTTGTACTGCAAATTTTTTTTTTTTATTTTAAATCACCAATGAAGGGGTGCTTGATTTTGAATACTTTCCTAAATGATTTAAATTTTAATGCAAATTAAAAAAAAATGATATAATTTTGTATATATATATATATACATATAAAAGCAAGCAAGAGGACCAAGCAAACACTCTGCCATGTTCTGTGGAACTCAAGACAAATGCCCTGCATGCAACAAAACTGTGTATCCATTGGAGAAGGTAATAATTAAATTAATTTTTCAACTTCATATACATATATTTATATATATATATTTTTTTTATTATAAAAATATTAATTTTTTTTTTTGGAAAATCGAAATAAAAAAGGTGACGATGGAGGGAGAATCGTTCCACAAATCATGCTTCAAATGTGCGCACGGGGGCTGCCCACTCACACACTCATCCTATGCTGCTCTTGATGGGATTCTATACTGCAAGGTTCATTTTCAGCAGCTTTTCATGGAGAAGGGAAACTATCAGCATGTTCTTGATTCAGCCAATCACAAGAAGGGTGCACCGGAGTCCGGTGAACCTGCAGACGACAAATCCGAGCACTCGGAGGGGAAGGCTGAGGCCGAGGCTGAAGCTGAGGCAAAGGCAGATTCTGATCAAGATTCCGACAAGCCACAAGAACAGTCTTAAAGATGAATAAAATAACTGTCGATAAATAACGTTTTTTTCGGGTCTTTTTTTTTCTATAGTTTTTTTATTTTTTTATTTTATTTGCATATTGAAGTTGCTGAGTTTATTTGATTTTTTTTTTTCCTTGATTTGATTTTTGAGTTTATATGCTGTGATAATTAATTATTTGTTGTAATTCTTATAATCATATAATCATGCATAGTTTGTGTGGAGTCTAGTAGTAGTGTGAAGAAAGTACACCTCTTGTTTTGATAAAGGAAAGCCCTTTTGCACATTTTTTTTTTGTTTTTGTTTTTGAATTTCTTTATAATGATTGGGACATGCATATAGATATTGATTTGTTGTTTTATGTATGCAAAGTGTTATATAATTCATATTCCTATAAATAAGTTTTCCTAACAAATAAATCCACATCCACCATATAAGTGCACTGCGTAAACGAGTCATTTATTAATATTCATTATTTATTAAAACACTAAACAATTAATTATTTTCTTGACAAGTAAATATTATTAGTACACAATTTTCTAGTAGTTAGAACACAATGAAACACATTATGTATGTATTAAATAATGTCTTGGTTGAATAACAAATGACTCTAGGTTAGTTGAGAGATTCATGTAATGGTCAGCTGCAACCCTTCATGCAACCAAAAGCCTTTCTTGTTTTCTATATATATATATATATATATATATATATATATATATATATATATATATATATATATATATATATATATATATATATATATATATATATAATAAGTAAATGAGATGTGCAAGTAAAAGTGTTGAGTGCACTATTTGGCTTTAGGGATAGCTATCCAAGCCAAAGCAAATTTGAAGAACAATTTTAGTTCCAAGAATATACCTTCTTTTTTTTTCTATGCTAGGAAGAATTGTGGTTGGTATTGCTTCATACAAGTTTGTCTTCCTACAAATTGACAAAAAATCATTAACATATGGAAGATATTTTACTATTCCATCATGAAATATAGATATATATTTTTTAATTTTTTTCTACAAAATTCTCAAGTTGGATCTAAATAATTACTGAATATGATTCAATTTTGTCAACACGCACACGCAAACACACATTCATATTGGTGTGTTTAAATCGACGATAAAAAAACGCCTAATGTAATCTTCATCGGGTGTAACATAGAAATAACCATAACCCTGACTGATGATGGGTATACCGTATATACGTGAAATATGAGAAAGACCGTATCTTAATTAATAAATGTATAAACAAATAATGGTCAACAAAAAATACAACATTTATCTAAAAAATTAGGACACAATGTTGCAATTCATAAATTACAAGGGGCTCGTAATTAATTAATTAATTTTATTCCGAAAGAAGGGGTAGTCTTACAGGAAGTGCAAAGGGCAATATATATACATACATATATATACATGAAAATAGTTGCACAAATAAGATTTAGTTGCACAAAAAAGATTATAAACAAGAGTTTCACGGGCTCCACGTATTTCTTTTGAACTTTATTTTTTTCCATCCGCCAATAGCCAATCTTTATTTAATTTAATTTAATTTAATTGAAAAAGAAAAAAAGAAGAAATCCTATTTCTAAATATTTCCTTCACCTTCACAAACGGAGGAAACCACAGAAGGCGGACGGCAAGTTAACCTGCCGTCTAATTGGCCGAGCTGCTGGTAATCAGTTCCGTTCCGTTACCACTTCCGTCATTTTCTACTCCCCTCTATATTTCCGCCCCCATTTCTTCTCTCTCAGCTCCTCTTCAAATTTTAGCTCTTTCGTCGCTCTTCATCGGTCAGTACTACTCCTCCATTTTCACGCACAACACACACTAATTTGCAATCGAGTGTTTTTGTGATTTCTGGACTATTTAGGGGGATGATTTTTGATTAATTTTCACTGTTTCTTATATTTTTACGATTTTTGCGTTGAATTAGCTGCGATAAAACACGCGTTTGATTCGATTTTTTGTGTTTGATTTCGTGAACTTTCTGGAGTTGAATTGTGCCGCAAAATGTTGGATATGAGGTTGATAAGAGAGTGTTGGGTAATGCGAACTGGAAATTTTTGTTTGATTATATTGGATTATTGTGATATTAAGCAGCTGAAGTGCGATTTGGGTTTGGTATCTTTTTATAGACGTGAATTTGAGTAGTTTTAGCATGTGGGGCAGTATGTAGACCATGATCTGCGTTTACCCAACTCTGATGCAAATATAGTGAATTAAACAGACAAAGCATGTGCCCATAGAAGAATTAATGGATACTGTTATTTCTGTACTAATACACTTAAAGGGGTGCTGAAAAATTGGCGATTCATGTGTGTATATTTCTGCATTGTAGAATAAGTATCTCTCGATTTTTACTGGGCATTCGTCTACATGAGTGATAGTGCATGCATGAGATACTTTTCAAATAGATGTATGATTGTTGTTAGTAGTTAACACGGTGGCGGCAGGGGAATAATTGCAATTGTTAAAGTTATAGATGTGTTTTTAGTTTCATTCCTTGAAATTTATGTTTCTCTATGCTGCCCATTCCTTTATTATTAATATTTTTTTTTTTAAATTTCCAGGTTGAGCTAAAGCTAACGAGTTTCAGAATATCCATGTAGAAGTATTTGCTCTTTCTGACATAGAAGGAGTGATGGACGTTGCATGTAGCTTATCTCGGTCGAATGTGCTTTACGGGGGTGAAGTTGCTGGTTGCAAGGGAATTGGAGGAGTGAATTCAGCAAGTTTGAAATATGGACGTCTCCATTGTAAACCTTTTGGAGGTTCAAGACTTTCCTCTAAATTAAATTCACAAAAGAAGTTGAAGAAGAACAATACGCACAGTGTTAGTTCCGCTAGTCCACGGATTGCGAATGAAGGCAATTTCTGGCTGTGGTGCTATGGTTCAAATGGTTCATCCTTTTACAACTCTGGCAGTACTTTTAAAATTTCAAAGCATGTGGGTCTGACACAGTGTCAGTCAAACGAGTCAGTAGCTTATGTAAATGGAAATGGCAGAGATGCAGAAATCATTGAGACTGGTGAGAGTGAGACTAGCCTAGGGTCTAATACCTCTGGGGAAAGATCAGGGGAGGGAGAAGGATTTTCTGTTCCTGGTTTGGATGAATTGAGGGAAACTTTGCAGAAGGCACTAAAGGATCTAGAAGATTCACGGCTGAGCAGTACTAAGTTTGAGGAACAAGCTCAGAGAATATCTGAAGCTGCTATAGCTTTGAAGGATGAAGCTGAAAATGCTTGGGATGATGTAAATAATGCCCTTAGCAATGTCCAAGAAATTGTGAATGAAGAGGCTATTGCCCACGACATTGTTCAGAAAGCGACTTTGGCCCTTTCTTTCGCTGAGGCAAGAATGCAAGTGGCTGTTGATGCACTGAAAATTGCAAAAGAAAAGAGTGAATCTTCTAAAGAAAGTGATCCGGGGTCTGAAAGTGGAAAGGAAGAATTAGTTGAAGAGGATGATGGACTCTTGGCTGCTCAGCTGGACATAAAAGAATGTCAAGATGAGTTAGCAAATTGTGAAGCTGAGCTAAAAAGGATCCAAAGCAGAAAAGAAGAATTGCAGAAAGAAGTGGACAGGTTGAATGAAGTTGCGGAACAAGCACAGATTAAAGTTTCTAAAGCAGAGGAAGATGTGGCAAACATAATGCTTTTGGCAGAACAGGCTGTTGCTTACGAACTCGAGGCTGCCCAGCGTGTTGATGATGCGGCTATCGCACTACAGAAGGCAGAGAAGAAACTTGACCTTTCTAGCATTGATCCTGTAGATTCGTCAGTCGAGGGAACTGTCACTGAAGATGATGTTGTTGTTGTGAAAGACTTGGAAATTTCAGCTGAGGTTGCAGAGTTACTTGAACCTTTTCCAGATGTCCAGCTGGAGGAATCAAGTTTCTCGGATGAGAGTGACAAAGAGAACGGGAAGGTAGCTGTGGAGTTATTGAAGGATAGTGAAGCAGATGCAGAGAAGTTAAAAACTATTCAAACTAAGGTGAATGAAATGCAGAAGGAGGCGACAAGGGAGAGTATACTTAGTTCTCCAAAAGCATTAGTGAAGAAATCATCCCGGTTCTTTTCTGCTTCTTTCTTCTCTTCTAATGCAGATGAGGAAGAGTTCACACCAACTTCAGTTTTTCATGGTCTTTTGGAGTCTGCAAAAAAGCAATTGCCTAAGCTGGTGCTTGGGTCATTACTTGTAGGAGCCGGGTATGCTTAATATTATATTGCACATTTCCGATGCGTTTTTCCAAAAGAAAGCAACAAACTTCTATACATGCTTTTGAATTTGTCAATGGTGCTAACATGTGATAGAAATATGCTAATCTTTAATATGTTGCTGCAATTAATTGCAGATTTGCCTTCTACGTGAAGGGGGGTGAAAAGTTTGTTCAGCTATTTCAACAGCCAGACATCATCACCACTAGTATTGATGAAGTATCAACTACTGCAAGGCCTCTGGTCAGACAAATAAGAAATCTGCCTGTGAAAATGAAGAAACTCATGGAGATGATTCCTCATCAAGAGGCACGACTTAAGCTGATTCCTCACTTGTCTAATTTAGATAGAATCTTGTCGGTTCATAGTGCCTTTATATGACACGTTCATGTCTTAGTTTCTTAATTAAGTAGTTATTCTTTTCCCTTTTGTTTCCCATTTCAGATAAATGAAGAGGAAGCTTCCCTCTTCGACATGGTGTGGTTACTGCTTGCAAGTGTAATATTTGTGCCTATTTTCCAGAAAATTCCTGGAGGTAAGTATAATATATGTATTTTGCCCGTCACACAATTTAGTCAAGAAAAGGGAAGACATTCAACAGGCTGCAAGCAGTCTGATCTTAATATATTCAGTTGATTGTATCATATGCAAAACCATATTCCAATTGCAGTTTTTCCCTTGTTTTTTTCTTTTGGTAATCTTTTATTTTCATAGTGGCACAATTTCAGAAAGTCATTTTGGATTGATCCCATTTTTGCTGTTTCGGGAATATGTAATGCATATTTGTGTTTTGGCTCTAAATTTTGTATATCATGAGAGCAATTACTAATTAATCTTTCTTGTGCTGCAATTGTAGGCAGCCCTGTTCTTGGATATTTGGCTGCTGGAATTTTAATTGGACCGTATGGTCTATCTATTATTCGCAATGTACATGCAACTAAGGCAATTGCTGAATTTGGGGTTGTCTTCTTGCTATTTAATATTGGTCTGGAGGTATATAGAGCCCACAAAATTGTCAAATTTGGACTTTGCAAGAATTAAATATCCACATTAAAGCTGTATGTGCACTGGTAGATGATCTTTAACCTATTCTTCCATTTGCAGCTCTCTGTTGAAAGACTAAGTTCCATGAAGAAATATGTTTTTGGATTGGGCTCCGCTCAGGTAACTGGAAATGGCATAATCTGCGAATTCTGAACTTGAGGCACTATACTTAGCATGATATCCATGCAGGAATTCCTTGTTTAAGTTTTTAACTTCCATGATGAAATGCAGGTCTTGGTGACCGCCGTGTCTGTTGGCTTGATTGCTCATTATGTTGCTGGGGTGGCCGGTCCTGCTGCAATTGTTATAGGGAATGGCCTTGCATTATCTTCAACTGCTGTCGTCCTTCAGGTAAACATAATTGACTGTATGTATAGTTTGTTGAGAATCTTGCATTATCTTCAATCTGTACTGTTTTATTCTTAAATTTTTTCTAGCAACTCGGCTGAATTACATTCTTTTAGCGCCACAGAGGCAGTTAACGTGATATATGTCGGGTTGTCTATAGGTATTGCAGGAACGTGGTGAGAGCACTTCACGCCACGGGCGCGCTACATTTTCTGTATTACTCTTCCAGGTAAGTACGAACTTGGGTGTTGTTTTCATCTCTCCCCTTGATCATTTCCCATTTTCGATGAATTTCTCTTATGCAATTTGTATGTTTATTGCAGGATTTGGCTGTGGTTGTGTTGCTTATACTGATACCCCTTATTTCACCTAGTTCATCCAAAGGAGGGGTAACAATTTTATCATGTGTCTATTTTAACTTCTAGATAAAAAACTATATGGCATGGCTCCCTATTTGTGCAACTGTGGTCAGTGCTGTTTTAATAATTAATTTTCTATATTTTCAGGTAGGATTCCAAGCCATTGCTGAAGCTCTTGGATTGGCTGCTGTGAAGGCAGTTGTTGCCATCTCAGCCATAATTGCAGGAGGGCGCTTGGTAGTATTCTTATTCTTTAAAGCATAGCTTGCCTTCTTCTGCTCGTGATGGAATTCAGCTTTCAACTAGAGTCATTTTGACAGTACTTTTTTTAAGCTTTTGTGCTATGTCGTGATCAAGTAAACACAATTTTATATTTCTGATACACTCTGGTGACATATTTTTGTTTCCACATTATGTAAACCCAAATTTATTCTCATTTTTTTTTTCTATCTTATGCAGCTGCTTCGCCCAATTTATAAGCAAATTGCTGAGAATAAAAATGCAGAAATATTTTCTGCAAATACTCTTCTTGTTATCTTAGGAACTAGCCTCCTAACTGCCAGGGTAAGGAACTCATCTTATGGTGGTTATTCTTTACTATTTGCATATCTTGTTCGTTCTTTCATATTGTCACAATAATGTTTTTTTTTTTCTTTTTACCAATTGTCACAATAATGTTAATATTGTCCATTCACTATCTGAAAACAGGCTGGCCTTTCCATGGCATTGGGAGCTTTTTTGGCTGGTTTGCTCCTAGCAGAAACCGAATTTTCGTTGCAGGTTGAATCTGATATTGCTCCATACCGTGGCCTTTTATTGGGTCTATTCTTCATGACGGTATGCCCATATTTGTATGGCTTAAATTTGAGAGATTTGATACCTGATCTTTATTACACTCTTGGCTTGTGTAAATGTTCATATGGATCTTCAAAATTATCCTTACAGACCCATATCTTCAAAATTATCCTTACAGTATTATAAGTGCATCTTTTTAATAAATGATTAATTTCACTGCAATTTTTCATTAAATGCTTCATCGCCCCAGGTTAATTTAATCATCCAATTTTAGTGATTATTAGTACCAAATCTATTTTTGGTTGCTTACAAAAAGTAATGTTTGTTCACAGGTCGGAATGTCCATTGATCCAAAACTTCTAGGCTCAAATTTCCGAGTTATTGCAGGAACATTAGGACTTCTAATTGCTGGCAAGACCCTCTTGGTTGTTCTCGTTGGCAAATTTTTTGGTGTTTCAGTGATATCAGCGATAAGAGTTGGTCTTCTTCTTGCACCCGGTGGAGAATTTGCTTTTGTAGCTTTTGGTGAAGCTGTTAGCCAGGTTAATCTAACAAATTATACCTTTTACCATCATTATACTGCTTATCTATGACATGTTACAAATAACGCTTTAAATGCCTGGAAGACAATGCGCATCTCAAACAAATCATAAACCAATGATTTGCTGGTTGATAATCACTAGTAGGACCAAATCCAAACTGCTCCTCAATGACTTTGAACCTAGTATCTTTGAGATTCTAGGTGATGTATTCATTATGTCAGCAGTATGTTCACATGATCTAAAAAAAGTAAAGAAAAGAAAAGAAAACTAGAACCGAGAATAAAATATTCTCTAGAATCTCCACTACCTCTTTATATTGTTGGAATGCTGTAGTCCTTTGTGAGCGGCTTGTCTTTCTAGTTAGATATTTATTTCCATTACTGGAGCTCAAGTAAAAGGAGCCATTCCAAAATCCAAATTAGATTTAATATGAAAATAAGTGAAATTCACTAAAAAATCAAACAATAATACAAATTCCGTCCTTTTTTTTCAGGGTATAATGTCCTCACAGTTGTCGTCACTGCTTTTTCTTGTGGTTGGAATCTCAATGGCCATCACCCCATGGTTAGCTGCTGGAGGCCAATTGATAGCATCTCGGTTTGATCTGCACGATGTCCGAAGTCTATTACCTGTTGAAAGTGAGGTGAGATGCAAAAACTAGTAGTTATTATGAACTCGTGCAGATAATGTCTTATCTGGGGTATAGACTTCTGTGTAGAATCAGTTTCTGATTCTCTGCTCAATGCTTTTGACTTTTGGCTCTCAATCTGGCCTATTCAGACAAAAAAAAAAAAGCTTTTATAGACACCTTTTATATTTCCTTCTATTTCTTTTGTCGTTTCAGTTTTCTGTTTTGCAAAGAGATGTCTGGTAAATTGGGATTGCAATGGTATTTAAGAACCACTAATTGTTGAGGCTGCAAGTTAGGTTAGATTACTTTCAATTAAGTATTATATAGATAAGATTTGGTATTCCCTGCCTTCAATTCTAATACGTATTATATAAATAAGATTTGATATTCCCGGCCTTTAATTGTATGTGCTCAAGTTCTATGTCTGAAAATTAAGTTATTGATTGGTGAATCATAATCTAAATGAGGGACATCATTTAGTTCGCACTTAGGAAGCTCTCTAAACTGTACTCTTATTCTGATTTCAGATAGACAACTACACCAATTAATGTTTTTGTTCTCTTTTGGGTTTGTCCCCCATAAAAATATGGGAAGTTACTTGGTTTTCTTCACAAAGTTAAGTTGAAGTATTCTTCTTTGGGCCGTCCAGATTATATCCAATGAATAAGACATGTAATTTAATGTGGCTGTATGCGTCTTCAATTCATTTCATATGTTCCTAGGAATCCATTTTGAAACGTTTTATTATTTTCTTGGATTTCTTCAGACTGATGATTTGCAAGATCATATAATCATTTGTGGTTTTGGACGTGTTGGCCAGGTATGTACAATCTTCAATGCAAGCTCTATAAACTGCTTGATAATCTTTAATTCTTGTGAACCTAGTCTATGTTTCTAATCTGTGTTTTCTATTGCCTAGTGTATCTGATATCTATTTTGAATCTTACAGATTATTGCTCAGCTTCTTTCTGAACGACTGATTCCATTTGTTGCACTTGATGTTAGGAGGTACAAATATTCCTAAAAGTTTTTTTTTATAATATATATATAATTTGATGCAAGAGTTCTTGGAAAACTGAGTTTGGAAGTTGGTCTTAGCTTCACTTGTTGTAAAAGATACGACTGTATCTTTTATTCTGTTGTTACGCTCACTTTATATTTTTAACAAACAATGATTCATTTGTTTCTAAAGTATCTGGGTATATTAAGTTCTTGACGTGTATATAACTTTCGAGTAAAAAAAGATGAATCTTGTTTCCAAAACAATACGGTCAACTCGGATGGGATGGTTTCTCTTTTGTTGCAATGCTATTCTTATCTTCAACTTTCTTAATTTCAGTGATCGAGTTGCAGTTGGACGTGCACTTGACCTTCCTGTGTACTTTGGCGATGCTGGTAGTCGAGAGGTAACTTCAACAATCAAGTTCTAGTTATGCTTTTCTTTTTAAATTAAATGGCATTTTATTACTTGCTTAATTTATCTTGGCATCAGGTCCTCCATAAAGTTGGTGCTGGAAGAGCATCTGCAGCAGCAATAACTTTAGATAGCCCTGGAGCTAATTACAGAACTGTTTGGGCTCTGAGCAAGTACTTCCCCAATGTTAAAACATTTGTCCGTGCCCATGATGTTGATCATGGACTCAATTTAGAGAAAGCTGGGGCCACAGCGGTAATTTTCTATCATAACTTTTTCCCATCTGTTTATTTTTTGTTTATAGTTGTTTTGAGCAGTCCAAGTTTTCTGTTACTGAGTGTGTGATATGGAGTCGTCGTTTTTATAAAGTTGCACTTGTAAGTAAATTTAATCCAAGTTATATAAAACTTGTGACAGGTTGTTCCTGAGACTTTGGAGCCTAGTTTGCAATTAGCAGCTGCTGTCCTTGCACAAGTAAGTGTACATACATACTGTTGCAGAATTGACTCAACAAAACCTTGTGTTAAATGAAAATAAGCTTTTCCTATCACTCATCGGTTCATTGATTATATCAGTAAGGTGTCCTTGTTAGGATAAAGTTGGTTTATTTATATCAGTAAGGTTTATTTGCATGCTTCATCTTTGAAGTTTAAATGAGGAAGAGGAATTTGGTAGTCAAGTGTTTTCCTCGTGTACCAGATCATATTTGCTTGTTCTTTAAATGCTAACTAAATGAAAATTCCACTTTTCTAAACCCAACTCCTAATGTTAGCAAGTTATAGTGGCCGTCGAGAAACTAAGTTTCAAGCTAAATGCAAGCTGCAGATATAAATAATACTCTCCACTCAGCGAAATAGAGTTTTATTACCATTTCTTTTGCGTTATGCTGACATAGATGTGGATACATCTACTTTTAAGGAAAAAAATTAAGTGAATGATCAATCCTTGATGCCAAACCACCTACTTTTAAGGAAAAAAGAACGAAAAACATGTCATGCTAATAGATTGTACAAAACAAAAAAGAATGAAATATTTCTGGTCAATGCATTTACACCTATTTTGGAATCATTCTTTCCGACCGTTTCTCTTGGTCTTTCTAGTACTACAGTTATTGACGGTGACACGTTTTTTTCAGGCTAAATTGCCTACAGCAGAGATAGCGGCTACGATCAATGAGTTTAGATCACGTCACCTCTCTGAGCTTACAGAGGTATGTAAATTTTGAATTTTTGATGTAGTTATACAGGAATCTTTAATGTGTAAACTCTTTTAAGTTATATACATGTAAGAATAACGGAATATTTCTAATAAACATGATCCATCTCTTATGCAGCTCTGTGAGGCAAGTGGAAGCTCTCTCGGTTATGGCTATTCTCGAATCATGACTAAACCTAAACCTCCGCCTTCGGACTCTTCCTCGGATGAGAACCAATTGTCTGAAGGAACCCTTGCAATATGACTCTTTTAGCCTTTAAACGTAAGTAGAAAAAAAGTGGGGTTTTTGTTTTCCCTTGAAAGGGAAGTGAACTACATGAAAGATTGTATAGCATTTTTACCCAATTGGTAAAAAAATGTACAGAGATACAGCAGTATGCTGAAAAGACTCATGGAAGAATGATGAAACAGTTACGCTGTTTTGTTCCATCGATTTTGATGCTAGAACCTTTTTTTTTTTCGATATATCTAACGAGGACTTTGCTTTAAGAAATAGGTGGTTTTTCGGTTGATATTTTTATGTTGCTTTTTTGCTTGCTTTTCAGTGTAACTTACTATTGTTCTTTAGAGATGAATAAGCAGCTTCGAAAATATTTCAAATACTAACTGAGCTTTGGCTTAGTGGTAACAGGAGCCTCTCCCACAGTGGTGTTTGGTGACGACGGGTTGGGGGTTCGGATCCTTTCGTGTGCGTGCGTTGTAAGGCCACAAGACCAACTTAATAATAAAAAAAAATCATTTTTTTTAAAGTGAAAAATTAATTCTAATACCATTAAAAAATTCAAGAATTTTTTTTTTGGAAATTGAGGTTTGGAATGAATTTTCTTTTGTTTAAAAAATGGAAAACATTTTTATTTATTATTTGCTATTTTGAGATGCTAGTAAACCAAGAAGAAGTTCATCATCAAACGGCGTCGTTTGCTTGCAGATTCTTTCTTCGTTCAGTCCCACTAAAATTTAATTCATATGGAAAAAACAAAAATTCTCTAGACTTTTCACTTTTGAGCTTTCCCGGCAGTCCTAAAACCCTAATTCTGTATTCATTTGTTGTATGTGCAAACGAACAATATAGGGCTGAGACTCCGGCTCCAAGCTCTCGGTCCCATAATGGCTACCGCCGCCGTCGCCACCTCATCTGCCGCCACCATTTTCAACTCCGCCGCGGATTGCTGCGCTCGCAGAGTTTTCCTTGTTACCAATCTCCAGGTTCCGACACGGAGCTCTTCCGCCTTTCTGAGAACAAGTAGAACGATCAACTCTCACTCTCGTGCTGCCTCCTCTATCTGTACTTCTTCTTCTTCTTCCGTTGTTAATGGTAAAAACACATCTACCTTCTCGAAAAATACGCATTGATTTCTTCCTTTTTGATAGAATTATTTTTAGTCCTTGATTTCGTTATATGTGGATGATAAGCAAATATATGATGAGCTTTATGCATGTACATTTGGAGGTTGCTGTATGTATCATGAAACGAATTCACCGATTTATAGTTAGTGACAGAATTTTCTCTGAAAAAATCGATCTCGGACTTGGTAGAGGTTGTCGATCTTAAATCCAAATTGAGCATAACAGTAATTTTTACTAGTGTAGCATAACAGTAATTTTTACATGTTTAGGGCTTAATTTTAGATGCGGAAGTAAGCATCTAGATTTTTCATATCGTTTTTTTTCGTTTTGTTTTGTGTGGATGTGGATTGTGGCAGTGATGTTTGCCGACGGGCCTCACTTTCATGGTATTGCATTGTTCACAGTTCTAATTGCACGGAATATGCGATAATATGGTTTTCTGAAACATATATACTTATAACCATTCTTGCTACCCACCGGGAACATTTTGCAGCTGCAATGGCCACCGAGGCTTCTGCAAAGGTTATTGATGGAAAATCAATTGCCAAAGAAATCAGAGAAGAGATAGCTGCTGAAATATCAAGGATGAAAGAGTCTATAGGGATCGTTCCAGGACTGGCTGTTATTCTTGTTGGGGAGAGGAAAGATTCTGCGACTTATGTACGCAACAAAAAGAAAGCCTGTGAATCTGTATGTATCAAGTCATATGAAGTGCACTTGGCTGAAGACTCCACGGAACGAGAAGTTCTCGAGCATATCTCAAGCTTCAATAATGATCCTTCAGTTCATGGTATCCTTGTTCAGTTGCCTCTACCATCTGTAAGCCTCCGAATCTATGTATTATATTTCCTTGTAATTTATTCTAGTGTACGTCGTGAACTATACTGGTTGTAGGATGATCTTTATAAGATGATAATTATCTGAGGCCTCGTTTGGTTGGTAAGATAAGGCATGGACAATTGAATAATTAGGCGTAGTTTGATATTTGGTTAGTGCACTAACTTTTCTGGCCAACCCGCAATTATGGAAAAATAAGCTCTTATCTTGGCTTATCTAGGATTGAGGTTTGGACCTCCTTAGTCCAATTATACAATTCGGTTCTAATAAGATTGCATAATCTTATCTTGCTTAATGTTATGTTGGGAACCAAACGAGGCTTAACAGAATAGATTCTTACTAGAATCCACATATATACTCATATATACATAAGAGTCTAGTAATTTACTCCATTTCTTTGTCCTTCCATTATTTTCCACTTGCGATATATGTCTCTGATTGTCTATAAATAATTTTTTTTTGCCAGCATATGAATGAGCAGAATGTCTTAAATGCGGTTTGTACCGAGAAAGACGTTGATGGATTCAGCCCCCTGAACATTGGTCGCCTAGCCATGAGAGATAGAGAACCACTATTTGTTCCGTGCACGCCCAAAGGGTGTATAGAGTTGTTGCATAGATGTGGCATTACTATCAAGGGAAAGAGGGCTGTCGTAATTGGCAGGAGTAATATAGTTGGAATGCCCGCCGCCCTTCTCTTGCAAGTAATTAATGTTTTTTTTTTAATATTCGTAACTAAACAAAACCAGAAAAACAATTTCTTCAGTTTGACCTCAACTAAACTCTACAATTTTCTTGCTTGTTCTGTTTTGTTAGAGGGAAGATGCCACCGTCACTATAGTCCATTCGAGAACGAAAAATCCAGAGGAGATAACTAGAGAAGCAGATATTGTAATATCGGCAGTTGGCCAGCCAAACATGGTGAGAGGTAGCTGGATCAAGCCTGGTGCCGTTGTCATTGATGTTGGAATCAATCCAGTTGAGGTACGAAAAACCTATTTATTTACTTTCGCTTGTGCTCGATTTTATTTTCTGGTTGCTAATTTTTGTGCATTAAAATATTATAGGATGCCAAAAGCCCTCGAGGGTATCGGCTAGTTGGAGATGTTTGTTACGAGGAAGCTAGCAAGATTGCTTCGGCTATCACCCCTGTTCCTGGGGGAGTTGGGCCTATGACCATTGCTATGCTTCTCTCTAATACTCTCGCTGCAGCAAAGAGAGCCCACAAATTTGAGTGACTTCTTCACAATCGGTGCAGTTTTACTAAAAAGCCTACATAGTGTGATCAGGTAATTTGCCTGGAGCAATTTTTGCCTCTGTTCCAGTGTTGAACGAGTCTCTCTTGTCCGATTCGTTCTATTACAAGTTTATAATAAGTAGTGTCTTAATCCAGTTTTTGATCTGGCAGAGTTATTTGGTGCGAATTAGACCAAAACTAGGGGGATCGTCCCAGCAGGTTTTTCAGAAGCACTCTTTCGGTTTCGTATCTTTTCTAGCTCTCATTTGGAATTGGGAGTTCATCATTTTCATGCTAATAACGTTTCCTGAACAAGAGTCTTCACTGAAATTATCTACTTTTATTTATGCCTTTTCAGAGATAGCACTCGAATTTAAATGTGTTATCTTTTTGTTCATTACGCCTACTTATTTAGAAGCAACTTTTATCCTATCATTTGGTAAGATGGAAACAAGTTCAAAAGCTTCCATCAAAATAAATTATCGGTCATTAGTCTACATACATCTATAGTTTTTCAACATCAAAAATTAATGCGTGCAGCAAATTGGTCAACTCCGTTTTGGTTTTGCGGTCTTGTGCTCCGTAAGATAGACACCTGTTGACAACAACCACAAATGGTAGAAACATAAACCATTAACACCACAGGTACATATAATCCCAATGTATAAATTAGTCAACTGCTGGTGATAATACCTTAGGCCGCTCCATAGAGCTCCCAAAATAACCTACTCCGAAAGACGATGAAGTATAGGCAGCCACAACCTCAACAGCTTTCAGCTTCTCAGAAATGCTGACTCCCTGTTGCAAAACAACTACTCGTGTTTTAACTCTAATAATGCATACGTAAATCTAATTAAATAATGTGATAGGCGCGGCCTGAAATCTCACGGTAGCAGAAGCATCAGCTTCAACAAGTAAAAATCCAGCACTCCTCTCATTGACAGATTGCAATACTCTCAAGCAAGCATTAACCGGACCATCATCGGACCTGTAATAAAGACCAATTCTCTATTCTTCAATTTGCACATAAATAATATTACACGATGCATCTCAAGTTTTTAGTACAACTAACTATAATTTACAAGAATAAAAAACGGCCGACTCTTAAAAGCAAGTTGGTAGAAACTTACAATGCTGAAGATACACAGCATTCACGAGCGGCAAATCCCTTCATTAGATATTCTCCAGCACCACTCACACAACAACCAACATTGAATGGATCTCCAGAAGGGGTTCTTGAGGATGCCCAACAACCACAACCGTACATTGCTGCTAATCCAACACGGCCACTAACCTGCAAAAAAAAAGTAGGAAATGATAAGTATGAATTAATACAGGATCCTCATATTGTATTTGATTATTTAATAATGAAGTGTTTTGGGTTCAAACGGTTAGATTAACACAACAGGAAACGGATTCGTTGGAGGCAAATTTTAGATCACTTGTATTATGTGTGAAGAGTTACGTGAAAATGTCAAAGGGGTCACCTTAAGGGCGATGCCGCCACTTGAGGCTCCAGATGCTATGTGCCCCTTGGAATCAACACAAATTACTCCAACTGTGTCCGCTATGCCATTCTCTTCTAATGTTTTCGGAGGATAAGGCTGAGTCCCACCTTCGTTTAACTTTGGAAGATCACGCGATTGAGTCTCTGCTGGTAAAAAAATGTTGCAAAGTTGGAGATATTGGAAAGTATAAGATAAAATATTACCGTTGCCTTCAGTTTTAAAAATCATAAATAATAGACCCAGTGATCAATAAGGTCCATAAAGGCATTTTAAACACCCAAAAATAATGCCAAGGAGTACTCGCCATCAGACTCTCGTAATGCACATAATAAGAGATCGCCAGCCGAGTAAATGACATATAAATCCTAACCAACCAAAAAAAGAAGCAAAAAAAGAAGTAAAGCAATATAAACATATTTAGCATCTGGAGATAATTTTCAATAAAAATTGGCTTTCCCAAGGATAAAAACAAAAGATGCTCGACCAATAAGCATGCCATCACTCAGACTGATGTTTTATAGGGCATAACCATGCTGAAAAGTGTCAATGGCTTGTTAAAAGGCCTAGGAAATATTTGCATGACCAACAATCAGAAGTATACATTTTCGACGGAAATAAAATTTCTTGGTAATGTGTAGAACTAGAATATTGGAAATACATGAACAGCGAGGTTTCAAGAACCATGGATGCTACCTGAGGCAGTTGAATTTGTTATAGCTTTGGCGTCATCGAGCATTGTTCTATACCTTCTCCATTGATTTCTAGCCCTTTCAGTCACCAACCACTGCCATAATAACATGAAAACATGAGAAATCCGAACTGAAACAATACATTTTTTGCCTTCAAATATAAAAATCACACAATTCAGAAGCACAAGTGATATCTCGATCGAATGATAAAGTAGTAAAAAGGAAAAACATGAAAACACTACCTCATCAGCCCCTTCTACAATATCATCTGAAGCAACACCCTTGGACTTTGCCCACATGCGCGCCCCTTCACCAACCAAAAACCTAACAAATTCAACTTTTTTTAATTAACATAAGCTGCCAAAAAGTCCAGAAAGCAGTGAATGAATCGTGGGACAACACAAAACATGACGCTTTTTTCACGCAAAAGGTCGAGCTGACTTTCACAAGATAATAAAGTGCTTTATACAAAGGGTGTTGCATGAGGACTCGTGTTGTAAAAAATCCGGTGATGTTTAAAAAAAATTATAATAAGGTAAGCATGCAGCAGTATCGAAATTAGCACATATGAAGCAGAAAACCATGAGAATTGTGCTTATGTATAGCACTATGGAGATTTGAAGTTTAAATTGAATGCTAAGATTCAAATTGAAGAAAGATAGTCACAAGAGACGAAATGATCCTGAACTCTACATGAAAAGAATATAAAATCTCTACATTTCTGAATAACATGAAAGAGCCACCGCAAACAGTTTCTTTCACAAAACTATATCGATGAATCGACATATATGCAGAACAAAGTTAAGCTAGGAAAACATAGACTTCCAGTAAAAGGAGGATAACCGTACATAGGGCTGATTCGACCCAAAAGTGATGAACCCGAAATCTGTTCTTTAGCTAGCAAGACAGCAATCTGGATAGCATTTCTAACACCTGGCAACCATTAACTTCACAGGAATGCAAACATATAATGAAAACGAAAGCTAATAGTCCACAAAAACCACCAATTTCGAAGTGAAATACATTTAATGACCGAGTACCTTGCACTGCTCCAACAGCACCAAAAGCTCCAGATTCACCATCCATTACACTAGCATCACATTCCACATGACCATCCTCCGTCAAATTTGAGCCTCGTCCAGCATTTGTGCAAGGATCATCCTATACAAAAAAACACATATAAATTCACATTCAGAGAGATATTTTAATTTTTTGCTCCATACAGAATTACTGAAGCTGACTACTATTTTCCGTGCTACGACAGCTAATCGTACTGTTATTACTTATTACTTGATATTATAGGCACGAAATCGATTGAAGTGCTGCACATAATTTTCCATGAAGTTAACTCATAGTCCGATAGCATATACACTCGAAAAAAGGTTAGAGAAATTTGCAGTATACCTCCAAAACTTTAATTGCAGCTCCAACAGCATCTACAGAACCACCGGAACCCTAAAAAACAATGATGAACTGGCTAAATCAGAAAGCAAGGCATACTCCGAGTTTGATTTTCAGCATCATTTGAACTTTTGAATTTTTTAATCGTGAAATCGAGCATCAGTATCGAAAGGCAGTGTTTCAAAAAATGTTTTCGACCGGAAATTACATTCATCTTAAAATGATCGGCGATTTCGTTTTACTGAATATGAAAAAGCAGTAGACGATTGTGCGCGTGATATATGTATATATGTTAGTGAATGACGGAGAAAAGGACCTTGCTGAGAATAGAAGCGGCCGCGAGGCAGGCGCGTTTCATGGCGGAGCGGAGGGCTTTCTCGTTCGACGGCGCGTGATATCCCGCGCCGACGTGCACGGCGACGAAGAATCTATCGTCTGCTTCGCAAGCCATTCGGAACAATTCGATCTCTCAAGTAAAACCCTTCACCAGTTTTATTAATTAATAGCTTATTAATTTATTAAATTATTTTTATTATTATTTTCAACAATACATTTTTTTCAATTTGTTTACGTATTTATTGAATTTATTCATTGTACGATTAGGTCAGTGTAGTGTAGATTCCATTTGACGAACTGAATGTGAACTTAAACAAGAAAAAATCGATAATTAAATTATATTTTATTAAACCTTCGTAGATTTGTAAAATACAATATGTATTGTATTATGTAATTTAAAGAATTATTTTTATGCATTATTAATTTATATATTATATGGAGCTTCTTAAAATTTTCGAATGTGTATTATCTTATTATAAATGTAGCGAATATTAATTCAGCTTACTGACCTCGAGCCGGGACCGAGAAAAAAGGTCATTAATTTATCGCCCTAATTTATTATTGTCTCTCCCTTTCATTACACATCTGAATTCCCAAACACAACTTTGGCTTTATAGACAAAATAATCAAAGAATCAAAAGAGACACTATTCAAAATGAATATAACACAAAAATAATAGGATGCCATTGGCTAAGAATAGTTCATCAAACATAAAAATAAAAAGAAATAAAAAAAAAAAAAAAAACACTGCACTTCACTTACACTTTACTGTTATTCTCATATCAATCCAAATGGATAACAGTAGAACAATGGAACCATATCCATTAGTAATAAAACACCTCTTTTCGATAAAAGAATAAGCCGGAAGGCCCTCCATCGGGCAGAAGTGCCAGCCTCACCGGACTTTCAGCAGCTTCTTCAGCACTTAGCGGACCAAGATTACATGTAATATCCGTTCGAGCAAAACCAGGACAAACAGAGTTGATGAAGAAACTCGGGTATTTTTTGGCTACACACCTCGTGTATCCATTCAAAGCCGCCTTGGAAACTTTGTACGAAGAAAGTCGAGTTGGCCATTGTTTGGATTCTAGCGTACCCTCTTTGAAGCTGTTGAGGAATTCTTGCACCACCTCGTCTACTTTATCTTCTGTCAAGCTTTCTTCATCACTTAGCACCCCTTTCGCCCATTCATTCGACAAAATCTGATCGTATCCATTACATATGTCATTAGCATATAAGTACTTCAAGATAATAGTTTCTTGGTTTTGCAAACTGCAATTTTTTTTGACATTCGAAAAGTTGAAATAACATTATTATTACCTTCAAATTTCCCATAGTGGAGGACACGTTCACGATTCGTGGTGAATCGGATAATTGTAGGAGATGAATGAGCGCTTCGGTTATTCTTTTTGGACCATAGTAGTTCGTACGGACACAATGTTCACCATCCTCGAAAGTCTGGGTAATGGTTCCACTTGATTTGAACTCAACTTCTTCTGACTGCATCATCAATTCGTAAATAAATCAGCTTCCTACTCGAATTCATAGGATATATACAAAGATATAAAAACCCCGTTTATGAAAAGGACTACATGAAAATAATCCAAATATGACTGATTCTACACAGCTCGTAATCTGTTTCGAAAAGTTTTTGAAAACACAACCTAATGTAAAATTAAGTTAGCAGTGTGCATTTGTTTGGACGATATATGTAAAGAGGAAACGAACCGTTCCACCGGCAGCTTCATACAACACAGAGGCGTCTCTCTCGATAACCTCTTGGAGAATCGAAACATCTCCTTCCAACTTTATTCCAAAAACACCTGCATTGTTCACCTGCATAAGCCCAAATCACTTCGCCCTTAGCAAAAAGACAAGTGAACATAGCAACAAGAATTCACAACCTTAGAAACTGACTTTTTATTACTTTGCTAGAATCCTTTCAAACTAATTCCAAATCAAGAATTCACAAACCATATTAAGCCTCATTGATCATTCTTACCAAAATATCGAGCCTTCCGAATTTCGTCTGTACAAACTCAACAACTGCAGCTACGCTAGAAGGTTCCAGAACATCGAGTTGATGAAAAACAATATTATCCGAAAGACCATACTCCTTTAGCCTTTCTTGAGCTTCAATGCCTCTCTTCTCACTCCTAGCTGTTAATAACACCGTGACTCCTTCGGAAGCTAACTGCCTACATATCTCGAATCCGATTCCTTTATTCCCTCCTGTAACCAATGCATACCTGGCAGATAAAATTAAAATTAAATATATAAAAAATCGAACCCATTTTTTTTAAGATAACTGAAGATTAAAGATGTGAGTGACTATATAAAATCTATAACAATTTCACAAGTTACAACCTCTGTGTTGCAGGTTTGTGAATTGACTGTGCCATTGTTGGAAACAGATCAGAGAGACGAAAAAACGCAACACACGATTTAAGATCTGTATTGTCAATTAAATATATATTGACAACTTGTTTCTACAGATCTTGAAAACTTTGTACTAACCCTGTCATTTTTTTTTCTATGCACACCAATTAAATACTTGTCTCTCTCTCTAGAAAGTGACTTGCTATTTCCGACGGAATCGAGGAAATAAACGATCGAATACCGCTGGTCACAGTTTCAATTAAAGATTTATCCTTTCTCTTATAAATTTCCTGTGTAAATATATTATAATATTCAACACGAGGAATTGGAAATTTCTGAGAAATTTCTTCTGATACATTTCAGACTATGTAAACATTATAATATTCAACACGAGGAATTAATTAATAAAAAAAAAAACACGAGGAATAGGAAATTTCTGAGAAATTTATTTACTGATAAAATCCAGACTGTAAATATTATAATATTCAACTATGAATCGGAATTAGACGAAAAGAAAAATAAAATAAAAATCGTCTGTTTCTGTGTGTAATTTAGTGTGTGTTTTCATGGAATTGATCTAATAAGAAACTCACTGACCTGTTCGCCGACGAGAGATCGGCTCCATTTGTATCGAACTCTGTGCTCCAACTGAAACAGACAACTCTATCAACACACAGTATGATAAATGAAGTGAGGTAAAAAATAAGGGTAAATTACAAACACCCCTGAGGTATGGTCAATTTACAAAAAAACCCCTCTTGTTTGAATAATTACATCTACCCCTCAATTATGTTTTTTTCTTACACCTCTACCCTTATGGTGTCAAATTCAACATAATTATCTAGATTTTGTGGAATGTGCTCTAGTTTGTACTCGTTTTGTATGAAAATACAATTTCTAATGCACAACAATCTGATATATACAAGCCAAAAAACACATATTATGATCATCTCACTTCAAAATGTAGAGTTCGAATGGGATTAAACGGGTACAAAAGTGATAATATTCCATATAATCTCGAAGATTCCACTAAATTTGAGGAGTTGAGGGGTGGTTGTAATTATCCAAACAAGAGGAGGGTTTTCGCAATATGACCATACCTCAGGGGTGTGGTTATAATTTACCCAAAAATCAAAGTGACTGGGAGAGGGAGAATACTAATACGGTTTGACCCGGTTCGTATTCGGGACTCGTAAAATCAAATATGGGTTATGGGCTGCCCCGTTTTCAGCTGGGCATTAAATTTTAATTTATGTTTGGGCCACAATATAATTGGGTCTGCTGAGTGATTTTTTATATTTTATTTTTTGGTGTCAAGTTTAGAGAGTTTATTTTAGTTTAACCTTAAGTAAATTACTTTCCAGAATAACAAATTATTTAAGTGCATAGTTGGTAAAATTTGATGATAATTACTTATGTAATATTTTAATTTTAATCTTAAATGTTTTTATTTTTTATTTGGATATGATGATTACATCGAACTTTTTTTATTATTTTATTACGATTCAAACCTCAATATAAATTTTGCCATCTTATTAGAAATAAATTTTAAAAAAAAATTAAAAAACACCTTTCTTTTATATATAAAAATATATTAAATAATAATTTAAACTATAAACTAAAACACACTTCAAACTACATCACACATTGTTCTGGGATCATAATGAATAACAGTACAACAATGGATTCATATCCATTAGAAACTCGAAACCTCTTTCCGATAAAAGAAGATTCCGGAAGGCCCCCCATCCGGCACAAGTGCCAGCTCGACCGCACTCTCAGCAGCTTCTTCGGCGCTTAACGGACCAAGATTGCACGTAATATCAGTTCTAGTTAAGCCAGGACAAACAGAGTTGATACGGAAACTCGGGTATTTTTTAGCTATACACCTCGTGTATGCATTCAAAGCCGCCTTCGAAACTTTGTACGACGAAAGTTGAGTTGGCCATCGATTGTATTCGAGTGTACCCTCTTTGAAATCTTTAAGATATTCTTGCACTACCTCATCCACTTTGTCTTCCGTCAAATTTCCTTCGTCGCTAAGCACTCTTTTCGCCCGTTCATTCGACAAAAGCTGATCATTCATCGTCCACGAGAAAACATCATTTCAATTGGTTTTTTTTTCAAGGTTGTAAAAAGCTGAAATAACATTAGTATTACCTTTAAATTTCCCAACGTGGAGGAGACATTCACAATTCGGGGTGAATCGGATAATTGCAAGAGAGGAATAAGTGCTTCGGTTATTCTTTTTGCACCGTAGTAATTTGCTCGGACGCATACTTCGCCATTCTCGAAAGTCTCGATAATGGTTCCGCTTGCTTTTAGCTCCACTTCTTGTGGCTGCATCATCAATTTGGTAAAGAAATCATAGGGTAAATAGCATAAAAACTCCCTGTGTTTAGGAAAATCTGTGCCAAATACCCCTGTGTTTTTTTTTCTTGCGTAAAACCCCCTGCGTTTTATTTTACTTTGCACGAAATCCCTTTTTCCGTTAAAAGTTAACGCCGTTAACTATAGAGGGGGTTTTATGCAAGTTATTTGTAATACAGGGGATTTGGTGCATGATTTTGCAAAACAAGGGGGGCCTACGCAAATTAATTTATTCATTTAAAATTCAAATTATTTTCTTAAATTAAATCGAATATATCTATTAATTTAAAATACGAAAGCTAAGAAAATAATACTCGAGATGGAAGTTGGAATGACTCAATTATTTATGCTCTTTTCACATATAAATAATCAAGAATAAATTATAAACATATATAATAATTCTAATAAAATAATTATATATTTAAAAAATCAAAATTCATACATTAATAAATTATATATCATATAATAATTAACTTTAAAAAAAAACATTCACAACACCTATTAAGTTTTTATTTTTGATATTTTAATTGACTGAATGTGTTTAACTTAATTTCAGAAAATAATATGATATTTAAACAAATAAATTATTTTTTGTATAAAATCCCCTTGTATTGTAGAAAATATGCACTAAATGCCCTTATGTTACAAAAAACTTGCATAAAACCCCCTCTATAGTTAATGCGTTAACTTTTAACGGAAAAGGGGATTTCGTGCAAAGTAAAATAAAATACAAAGGGGTTTTACGCAAGAAAAAAAATACAGGGGATATGGCGCAGTTTTTCCTTAACACAGGGGGTTTTATGTTGTTTACCCAGAAATCGTACGATAAGCTAAAGCTATATTTGCAAACACTTGTGTGAAAGAGGAAACAAACCGTTCCACAAGCAAATATCGAAGCGATCTCTCCCTCAATAACCTCTTGGAGAATCGAAAGATCCCCCTCCAACTCTATTCCAGAAACACCTGCATTGTTCACCTGCATAACCCCGAATTGCTTTGCCTTAGCAAAGGCGTAACGGACGCATATATGTACGTAGCAACAATTTCACAAGAACATTCTTAGAATTTCGTGTCTTCGTTTTTTTACTCAACTAGTAATAATATTTTGCAAAGATTCGTATCTATACGAGAATTTTCAGTACTAGAGATACCGAATCACGAATTTCATCCTTTCAAACTACTACCAAAGATTCATTGTCTATACGTTTTTTTTTTATCGAATCACGAATTCCCAAACCACATGAACTAAATAGCAAAAACGGAAAAACGTTACTTTACGAGCTTCGATTCTTACCAAAATATCGAGCCTTCCAAAATTTATCCGTACGAACTCAACAACCGCAGCTATGCTAGTGGGGTCCACAACATCAAGTT